CCCCCATCCCCCCCAGCCCCTTGATTCCTTCCCCACCTGGCCCCACTCCCTGCCTGCCCCCTGAGCCCCCCAATCCCTTCCCTGTCCCACAGTGCTGTAAAATGCTGGACCAGTTTTCCAATGGAAATTGTAAGAGCTCAGCACCTTCAGTTAGGCACATCACCTTGCAGAATCAGACTTAACAATGCCAGATAAGAGCACAGAATTTTTTTAACAACTTTGCTTTACTTTTTCACATGACCTTCTCCAGGTTTATTTAAAATGTTTGTTGTTCTTTTAAGCTGAACTGTCAAATGTCTGCAAAACTGGAAAGTTTATGTCTATGCTATAAATGCCCCTAATTTTAAGTGATAGCTGAATTCCTCTTCCCATGAAAAGCTTTCCTTAAAATTAACCACTAAAAGGCTCTACTGCTCTGAGTATGCTGTAGCTGAACTTTCAGTTTCTGGCTTGTAAAGAACACACCTAAAAGCTTTTAATTTTTAAGCCCTAGCCCTTTGTTAATTTTTCCAAAAAAATCCTAGAATGAATGTTAGTAGTGGCAATATATTAAAAAATGATCCCATTTCCAAACTGGAATTTTTTCTTTCATGTAAAAGAAAAAATTGGATTAAACAATGATTTTACAGACTACGAAGGAAGATCTGCTGGAGAGCAATTACAGTGGACCAGATCTTCTGTTGGATATTGTTTGAAAGCAATGAAGTCTTACACACCAACTCAAGATCTTTTCCTATCTTATTTATTGGTATTATTATCAATACTACTGTCTTTACTTGAATACAAGACAAGGTTCCCCCACCCCCACCAGCATAGGGAGAAAAACTCCTCATCTTAGATTCACATACAAGGAAATTTCATTAAATGCAATATCTGTCATAGAAACCTACTATGAAGTTGATTAACACAGCCAATACTGCACATGACTATAAAACACATGAACCATATTAGGCAGCACCCTAATTTCCTATGAGTCTATAATCCTCCACAGAGAACTGGCATGTACTGTGATATCAGGCCAGCACTGAGAGGCCAGAGCCAGCCCTGACACCCTCCCCTTGGCACCAAAAACATTTGATCTTAACCAAAAAACCAAGATACTACCACAAAGATAGGACAGTATAGCCTATGGGAATAAAATATATGGTAATACCAACTGTGCTCAGTGCAGACTCCTTTTCAAGTCATGGTGAGCCACTTCATTGAATATATTTCAACTTCTTCTTCACTCCCACAGCTGACCCGTGACTTTCTTTCCCATTTCCAATGAGTCCCGTTTCTTCACTATCCTTAACTATCTGGAAAACAACACCAAATGGGCCCCCCAAGAGCTTATCCAGAATCCCTCAGTCAATCCCTCTCTGTTTGTCATATATGCAAAGGTCATTGTGGGACCCCTGGCATGGCTTTATGAGAACTCATGGTGCTCTGGTGTGGTGCCAGAGGACTGGAAAAAGGCCAATGTGGTTCCCATTATAAAAAAGGGAGGAAGGAGGACCCAGGAAACAATAGGTCAGTTAGTCTTAGCTCAATCCTGGGGAAGCCTGTTGAGAGAATTATCATGGCGCATGTCCATGAGGGGCCAGCAGGGGAGATTATGCTTAGGGGCAACCAACAAGGGTTCATTAGAGGCAGGTCCTGTCAGACCAACCTGGTAGCCTTCTATGACGAGGTCACAAAATCCTTAGACACAGGGGTAGCAGTGGACGTAGTCTTTCTGGACTTTTGGAAGGCCTTCAACACTGTCTCTCAACCCATTCTCATTAAAAAACTAGGGGACTGTGGCATCAACACCTACACAGTCAAATGGGTCACTAACTGGCTGGAAGGCCGCACCCAGAGAGTGGTGGTGGACAGGTAATTTTCGACCTGGAGGGATGTGGGCAGTGTGGTTCCGCAGGGCTCGGTCCTCAGGCCTGCACTGTTCAACATCTTCATCAGTGACTTGGAGAAGGGGGTAAAAAGCAACCTGTTCAAATTTGCAGATGACACTAAAATGTGGGGGGAATAGGCAGCAATCAGACCTAAACAGGTTACAGGGGTGGGCAGATGAGAACAGTATGGGTTTCAACACTGACACCTGGGGAGGAAGAAACAGCAGCATACCTACAGGCTGGGGAACTCCCTCCTCATCAGTGCAGAGGCAGAAAAGGATCTTGGAGTCATCATTGA